AATTTTGACAATATGATCACATAACTATTTAAATAATTTTAGCCACGTGCCGTTAAAAAGAGACAATTTAGCTGATGTAGTTGTTATTAAATAAAAGTGAGTCAGAGGTTCACATCAGCTAAATTGTCAGTTTTTAACGACAAGTGGCTAAATTAAAACCCTTAAATAATTGTGGTTATATTGCTAAAATTAAAAGTATGATGATCATATTGATATCAACCTTATAGTTAAGTGATCATATGAGTAGTTTACCCTATAATTTTATGATAAATATTAAAAGGGAAAATTATATATTTAGTACCTAAACTATCATTTTTGATATGTTTTAATACCTAAACTTTCATTTTTTTCAAATCATACCTAAAGTTTAGTTTTTGTTTCATTTTAGTATTCATCGTTAAAAACTTTAGTTTTTGTATCATTTTAGTATCCCATTCAAAATTTATCGTTAAGTTTTTAGAAAATTGAAAGTTTAGGTACTAAACACATTAAGTTTTTTAACGGTGAGTACTAAAAAAAAACAAAAACGAAATGTTAGGTATGATTTTAAAAAAAATTAAAGTTTTGGAACTAAAATGGATTAAAATTGATACTTTAGATACTAAACGCATAGTTTACCCATATTAAAAATTTGAGGGAGTTAGAAAACTTTTAGGACTAAAATGACTTTTCTATAAAGAGTTGGAGGACCTAAAATAACACCCAACACCCCCCGCTTCAACGTTCGGCTCTTTTATCATCTTTGAGAAAACCACCAAAATCCCTTTCCTTTTCACCTTACCAAATCCAATCCGCACATCTTTCATTTCCCCATGTTCTTTCTAGGGTTTTTGAATTTCACCCCTTTTATGGGTCACCCCCAATTCTTCTGTAAATTCCAAATTTCCTTGTCTGGGTACCCTTAGATTTCCCTTTTGAAATCCGTGTCCCTTCTGTTTTCATAAAAAGATTCTCGATGTCACAAGGCTTTTCAATCGAGCTTTACTTCGATCCGGCACTGGAAAACAAGTCTTGAAAGCTTGGAATGTATGGCTCGTCGTCAAATCAGCACCAGTTAATCGAAATGGAGTCGAGGCCTCACATTTCTCTTTTCAGCCCCTTTTCTCGACCCATCGAAGCTCGAATCCGTCGTGAAGTCCGTCGCTTCAAAGCAGGAGCCTCTGGCTCTATCGTTCTCTTCAATCGGGGCTTTCCCAAACGAAAACAATCTTCTTTTTCTCTCACCTGCTCCAACAATGGCGATCCTACAGTTCCAGGCTCAGTTATCCGAGGCAATCAAAAAGGAAGGGATTGAAGTTGGAGAAGATTTCAAAGTCGATTCTTGGATTCCCTATTGTCCCGTAGTCAACAAGTTCCGAAAACAAGAATTGCTGAGGCTTTTTGTGTGTTGAGGAGTGAAATGCCTGTTTCTGGATATGCAATGGAGATTGGATTAGTGGAGTTTTCACCTGTTCGTGAACATTTCTCATTTGGACTTGGGAATACCATTGAGACATAGAGATTTGAATGGTCCATTATTACAGTTAGTCCTTTTTTTGTTATAAATATGCTTTGCCTAATGTGTTGCTAATGTAGATTTTTATAATCGGTAATGGATGTTGGATTCTTGTAGAATCCTATTGAAGTAAGTGAGCTTTTAGTTGTTAATGTTGCATCTAATGTCTTGTGTGTTTTTATGTTCTAGCATGACATGGATGACCAGAGAAATATTGGATGAGGAAATATATAGGGTTCGGTTCGAATCTCGGTTTGCTTGCTTTGAAACATGTTATTGGCATTTATATACATATCTACATACACACATGTGTTTGTATATGTATATTATGTATAGAGTTCATCATTTTGGATACATGACATTTTGCCAAAGCCGAGTCCTGCTGGTGATCAAACAATATGGTTAGCAGCAGGTGAGCCATGTGTACCATTAAGGCAGTAATGGAATTAGAAAGCCAAGTTTCTCAAAGATTCATTCCTGAGTCCGTACTCTTTGAAGTACAATTTTATTCTCTTTGATCCGTTGAGCTATGTTATCTGAACTCTTTATAGTATCCGTATGCGAATATGTGTTGGACACGTTCAAACATGAGTATAGAGGTATGATCCTCTAAATAAGAAAAATATTAGAAAAAATTAGCATACTCATATATTTACTGATCCCGAGTCTGTGGAATGTAGCCATTGAGCTCCAATCCTTAAATCTCCACAGAATTAAGTTGGTTTGCTTACTGGTAACCATGAAATATACTAGAACAATTGGACATAATTCCCCGGCTCCTTGTAACCGAAGTTCCAAGAACTCGGGCTTGATGTCCTTGTCATTTTCTACAGTTAGAGATCATTAATGGAAACTACAAATTCAATAGAAGGAAGAAATGAGATCATAATGCCTATAAACTGAGACTTCCAATGACCAAGGAAGTACTAAAATTTATAGACCGGCTTGAATTTTATTAAGACATACTTCACATTGCAAAGATTCCTAGTAAGATGTCATCTGGATGGAGAAACGGCCGTTGCTGTTGACAGAAACTTGGGATTTTCTTCAGAATCTGGCGATCAAACTTCAACTTCTGTATAATGGTTGATATTGTTTTTTTTTTTGTCTCTATTGTTTCATTTGTGTGTCTGTTTCAGCTACATCTGACATCCGTTGGTGACAAGCTGAGCAAGTAATATGGAAGGTATTTATCGGCAATCCTGTGGAGAAGGAAAGATGTCAAAGGGTACCAGATATTTTTCGTTGAGACATTCTTCCATGCTAAACCAGTAAGTTTGGGAACAAAGCATGGTGAGAAAGGAATTTGTGAGTTTCCAACAACATTTCAATTAACTTATCTTATGAACAGCCTTAACTGAAATTATTTTACTTGTTCGTGATTTGTGATGGAAGTTCCAAATCTCCACGAGTAAGACCCGAGTCTCCATTGTTATTGGTTGGATAACCAAGAAAGGCTTCCTGCACTGTATTTCAGACATTGTTTGCTTGAAATACTACAAAGAAAATAAATATTTTACTTTTTAACAGAAAAGTATGAGTTATAGTCAATCTTGCACTAAGATATGGTAATCGTCTGAGATTTGAGATCATGTTATATCATATCACAAACATGTTAATGTCCAATTTATACTATGATCAACTTTTAACAGAAAAAGTACGAGTTTATAACATATGAATAGTGTGTGGCCATTTTGGTAACTTTTAATAATCGATGGATTAAAAAAATCAAAATATTATAGTCAAAGAATCATTTTGTAACTTTTAATAGTCGTATGACTCAACAAAACATCACCCTATACTCGATGAGCATTTACGTACTTTATCCTAACTATCTTATCTGACCATTATCTGTCATATGTATGGCTCCGCCATTTGTGCCTGATTTTAGCATGTTGTGACGCATTCGTTGTGAAATGTTAAAAAGATGAACCCAACCTAAGAAAAATGTGTCACATTGACTGGTTACATGGCTTTGGACATTTCCCATTTGAGCCAAAATCAACTCAAACCCTTTCTATTTCATATGTCCTTCATTTTACGTATAGATCGATGTCGATTTTTTAATAAGTTAGAATGAATTACGAGATAATATATGTTCATATTTTATTTGGACATCGATAATGTACGCAATCTTATGATGTGTATGCTCAAACCCAAAGATCTTAAGAGCTAACATCACTTCCTTTTGATCACTTGGGCCACTGAATGGGTTCATGATTAATATTGAATTTTGATATGTGAATGGAGTAAATTAAATTGAGATAGTTGTTCTCTCAATAAATCTTTGTAATATTCGACTCAAATTAATCAATTAATAGATCAGACACTGATTATTAAACAAAAGAAATCAAAATCATAATAAAAATATAAAATCAAATTGCATGTGAATTTAGACATAATTAAGTTTGGAGAAGAAAAGTTATGACTATTTCTAGGATTAGTTGCCCAACTTGTCTGTAAGGTATTACTTTATTAAATCCTTCGACTATTAAAAGTTACAAAATGATCCTTCACCTATAGAATATTGTTTTGTTAAGTCTCTCGATTATTAAAAGTTACAAAATTGTCATATGATTATTCGTTATGTTCCAAACCTATCATTCTCCGTTTAAAAATTGGTGGTTGTCTAAGTTGGATGTTAACATGATGATTGGGATATGATAACCGTTTGAGATTTTGGGATCAAATTTTATCCTATCATAGTCAGTAGGTTAAAGTTCAGCTCAGAATACTGTCAATTTTTTAACAGAAAATGACGAGTTTAGAACATAATGAATAATTGGATAACCATTTTATAACTTTTAATAGTCGAGGACTCATCAAACAAATTAATCTCTCTAAAAAAGTAATTTAATCGATGTACATTATGCATCGAATCCAAGTCTAACCCATATTTTAAACAAGGGTAAACTATATCAGATACCATCGAACTTTACACGATGTATCCTTTATACCTCTGAGCTTTCGATTTTTCCAATTATAGCACTAAATTTGGATTACTGGACCGTTAAATCGTAACCGTCAGATCAAAACGATGTTGTTTTGATGAGGTTTTTACATCGGCAATCGTCAGCCATGTCATTGTGCCGTTAACAGTTTAACAGATCAGTGTATAATTGAAACAAAAACTAAAGTTTAATGTTATAATTAACAAAATTGAAATTTAATGATATAACGATACACGCCTAGACATAAAATTTCAGTATAAAAGTCCCCACATATCAAACATGAATGTCGAATTCAGAAGAAAAAAAACCCCCAAAACATCGTAAATTATTATATGTATAGTTAGAATCCACTTATATCCAATGTAAAACTTTTAGGATCGCTAGAGGAGAAATCAAGGCTAAGATTAACTTATTGTTTTTCAGTAAATCTTTTCATTTCCTACTATTAATCTCAGAATTTAATTTCCCCTTGTCTGTCGATCCTAAAAAGGTATAACTTTTTAATTTTACACTATGTAATTGAATCATGGCCCATATATATATATATATTTGAGAACTCCACCGTTAATACAGCAAATTAAAGTCTAACGATGCGTGGAAGATGCCTCCTTGAATGGGGCCTAAGAGCAAGCAGAAGTTTCTTCCTTGGTCCCTGGGAACCAACAAAAAAATTACTTCATCAAAACATACAATTTTTACTTCTAGTCTAATCTATATCAGACAGTAGCATCCAAGGCCTTAAGGTTATTATAATGACTGTTTTCTAATTTATTAAGCGCCCGTCCGACGAGCGGTGACAGCATGTCGTTCGCTATATATTCCGATAAGTAATGCCTGATGTAGGAACTTGATGAATGAATCGAAACTAGCACATAATGGGGAAGAAGTTACGAGAAGATCGATGTCGGTATGGTGTTATAGAATGAGCAAGAAGGAAAGTAGCATCGATCGATACCATTGGAATGCCGAGCTCTTTGAGGTCCCTGTCTCCCACTTGCCTTAGTGCATATCCACCTGCAATCGCACACATCGAGCTCCAAATAAGTATACGTTACAGAAAACGGACGCGATTGATTCGAAAATGCAGAAGAAACCGGAACTTAACATGCCCGGAAATAAGTATGCATAGCAGACACAAGATGCAACATGGTTTCTGCCTACTTTCGGAGACATCGTCCATTGAGACAGTCGGTAAAACCGGGTCACTTATCTTCGGCCATAAAATGAACAGCGTATTTCCCCAAACCAAGTGAGTTCAACAAGGTAGAAACAGTGAAAGGTTCTTCATCCTGTGAAATTCCAAGGGAGTGAAACTAGATCAAAACGTTGACACTCCGCCTATTCATTTATCGAAGTACCCGTGTTTGACGCCTATATTCGACACTCACATCCGAGTCGGGTCACATGGGAAAGTTAGCTAACAAATGCATCCACTATATGAAGAAAATGAAGCTATTGCAAGCAAAGAAACATACAACATGTGGCTTCCTGCAGGATGCTGCTCATTGGTGCTACATACTCGCTGGCTGGGAAATTATGGCTCTCTCAATATCAGGACCGGACCGACTCCATTGAAGGGCCTAAAACTATAGTGCTCGAAAATAGATCATGCCTTGCAAGGCAGTTGGCATTGTTTGATGTATCTTGGGAAAACCTCCAGATTCATCTGCAGTTTGCATAGAGGATATATGCAAACCATCTGGAATACCATTGCGAGTGGTTCCGATCCGATTGCAGATTCTTCGGTCCTATTCCATGTTTGGTCATCAATTTAAATCGGAGGTCTTTTCCCGGCACGATCCGAGAAACAGTCATATCACAGCACCATAATCCATCAACCAAAGCAAAACTTGCATATATAAACACCTAATTGAATCTAGCAATAGAATTAGCTGCTACCTGTCCTCTAATGCCGTTCGATCTCTGTTCGGCACCGTCAGTTCTACGCCTGCGGAAATAACACCAAAAACGACTATCATAAAACTAAATGTACAAACTGAATCTTCATTACGCATTGAGTGAAACTAACCGTACCCGAAATTCGATCTCGATGCAAACTAATGTCAGTTGCAAAGATCAATGTTGTTTACAAAAGCAAACATACACCTAAAGTTCAAACAAGAACTAGAAACCAGACAAGAACAAACCTTTTGTTACCAACATTTCTCCAGGGTTTGTCATGTAATAATCTTTGTTCAATTCATTCTTCCATGGCCAACAATGTCATCATCTCCCATCTTCACCACCTGACAAGAGTAAATTATATTCCTTTTTCATTACTTTGGTTAACATTTCCATTGGATCATATCAGGGACGGAGTCGGAATTCTAATTCAAAGGCGCAAGGTATAACTAATAATAAAAAATGGAAATGACAAAATCAAAATAAACTAAATTTGAAGGTCTATATATGTGTACCCTATATATATTTTAATAAAAAAATTAAGGGAGGCAGTGCCCCCAACCTTACACATAGCTCCGTCACTTGACCATACCAAAACAAAAGTGACATAAGGGTGTTGGTTGCATCGCACTCCGTAAATTTCAATTACTTATATAACTGATGCATTTTCTTTATATTTTTATTGATAATTTTATTTGTATCTCTTGAAATCTTTGGGTAAAGTACACAATGATCTATAACTATAGGCACTACTTTATTGAGTTTTTCAACTATTAAAAGTTACAAAATGGTCTTCTGATTACGCACTCCGTAAATTTCAATTACTTATATAACTGATGCATTTCTTTATATTTTTATTGATAATTTTATTTTGTATCTCTTGAAATCTTTGGGTAAAGTACAAATGATCTATAACTATAGGCACTACTTTATTGAGTTTTTCAACTATTAAAAGTTACAAAATGGTCTTCTGATTATAGGACGTTATTTATTTCGCATATCATAATCTCAAAAGACTATTATATCTTAGTCAACATGTTAATGGCTAATTCAGACGACCGTAAAAAAAGACGAGTTTAGAACATATGAGTAGTCGGGTGACCATTTTGTAATATTTAATAGTTGAAGGACTCAACAAAATAGAACCAGTTTATAACTTTTAATAGTTAGGAACTTAACAAAACAACATCTTATAGTCATAAAACCATTTGTGTACTTTACCGTTATAATTTACTCTTAAATTTTTAATTTCCTAAGCTCGAACGTTTAACATAAAATTTTACATTCGACCATGCAATAACCCAAATGCCCCAAAATCCCAGAAGTACAAGTTTTAACAAAAGAAAAGCGAGAAGAAACACATTAAGAATCGAAACAACCTAAACCACAAACCATAAGCGCTAGACAAAAACCAGAAGGAACACGCAAAGAATCAAAGAACCCTAAACCCCAAACACTAAACAAAAACCGAAAAATCGAGAGTGAATGAGGTGAAGGGTACCTTGCTTGAGCCTGCCCGGGTGATTGTAACTCTAAGTTTTGCCATATCTAAATGTGAACTGAGAAATCAATAATGAAAATCTGGGATTTTATAATCAAAGTTTCTTACTTTATTGACTATGTAACATTAAAACAGGTCAATAAAGAAAGGGTCTTTGATGGTGAAATCTGGGGTTGAGGCCAAAAAAAAGGAAGAAAATGGGGTATACACTCTTTATGGGTCAAGTCAATGCCCCATGATTTTTCCTTTCCTAAAACTTTGTTTGGTTGCCGAGAAAATCTTTACATGCTAAATTTCAACACGGTTTGTTATTACCTAGTCATTTAGACTATTGGTTAACTTGGATTTCTGAAAGATAATCTAATTTAAGGTTAAGAAAAAACACGATCGAAAATGTTATAAAATTATATTTTCGGTTGGATGCAACTTAAAATGCTAATTTTTTCTTAACATTTTCGCTTGAAAATCTTTTTTATAACATATTCGGTGAACAATTGAAAATGTTGCATTTTGCATAATGTTATAAAATTAACATTTTAGATTGCGTCCAACCGAAAATGTTATGATTTTTATTAGGGGTGTTCAAATAACCGAACTAATTCGGTTAACCGATCGAACCGAATTAGTTCAGTCGATTAACGGTTAAGAAAATTTTTAGAATTCGGTTAACGGTTAATTTGGTTCGAATTCGGTTAATTAACCGAATTAAATTTTAAATTTTAAATATATTATATATAACATATGAGCTCAGCTCACAATTTAAAACCCAATTAATAATTTAAGATCCAATAACTTTTAAACCTAAATCAATATTAATTAAAAAAAATTATAAAATTTTATTTTATAATTATATATTATTTAAATTAATTATAAACTTTTTTGAATTAAAAAACATTTAATTTTTATATAAATTAGAAAATTTTTTAAAAAAAATCGGTTAATTCGAAAATTAACCGAATTAACGAAATTTATTCGGTTCGGTTAATATTTTCGAAAAAAAGTTCGGTTTGGTTAAAGAAAAAAGTTCGGTTAATTCGGTTCGGTTCGGTTTGATTTTAACCGAATGAACAACCCTAATTTTTATATTTTCGGCTACGCCCATTTCTTATTGTTTTTTAACCTTAAATTAGGTTGTCGTAGAGTAAAATTACCAGATTTATTTCGGGAAAAAAATTAAATTAAACACGATGATGAGTTATCCATTATAGTTATGACGTGCGACAGCTTAATTTAAAACTAATTTAAGACGATTCCAAATTTTTTAAAATTGAAAAGAAATGCTTAAATTCCATTAGTCCTTAAAACAAGGAGGACCATGCATGTCCCTCGGCCGATGATGCTTGAAGGTGTGTTGTCCACCGTGCCCTCCAAATTGCCCGGATCAAAGAGCGATTAGAATCGGAGTCATCGCCTTCATTAATCAATCTCACAACTATGAAACAGTCAGATTGGATAATTATTTTCTCGTTCCAAGCAATGCTTAAACCGGTGAGAATTCCCCATTGCTCAGACTGGAGTGGAGAACAATAGTCGATAGAGCGTATAAACCCGAGTTGCCAGTTTCCATCACAGTCGCCGAAGGAACCCCCAGCAGCACTTTGCATGAAGTTATTCGCAGCAGCACCGTCAGTATTGACGCATATCCGTCCCGGCATTGGTTTCTTCCATTGAATTGCTTCATCAGCATGTTGGTATGAAGTAGGTCTCAAAGTTCATCGCCCAAGCAAAAGCAATGTGGAGGACAGAATCTGCATTCATGAGAGCCGACTATTAGGGGTGCACATTGAGCCATTGCTCAAGGCCCCCATTGTTTATAAGGACCTTGATGTTTTAATCCCACTTTTTTTTTCGTTATAATTGGTACCCTTAATTTGTTTTTTAGTTTTATTTCTTCTTTATAATTGAATCCCCAAATTTTTGTAATCTCGATTTATACCTTTATAATCGAGGTCTTTAATTTTTTCAATCCCACTTTTTATATTTGTAATTGACGTCATTTTACCTTTATAATTAGGTCGCTAATTTATTTCAATTCCACTTTTCAAATTTATTATTTGGGCTCATAATGTAATCATTTTTCTAAGATTTATTAATGAAATATTAAATTAATTATTCAAAATAATAGAATATACTTTTGTTCTATAAAAGTCTATCTTTTAATTTCACTCAAGACCTCGAAAATGTCGAAGTCGACTCTCCTTATAGCTTACAACCGAAAATGTCATAAAAAATATAATATTTTCAGTTATAACATGTCAAACCTTAATATATATATATATAGAGAGAGAGATTTAATTGAATAAAATAAAATTTTAAAAAATTAAAATATATTTTTTTTAATGTGAAGGCATAAATTTAGACCTTCATATAAATTCTCTAAAGTTTGGCTTGAAGAACAAAAATGACCCCGAATTACTTATTTAATATTTTTAGTGGTTATTTGCATGGATGTCCTCATACTATTGTTTATATTTTAAATTAGTCCCAGATATCAGCACGTTCTAATAGAATTTTCAAAGTATCAATTAGGTCATTCGGTCAGCCCAGTCATGTACTTGACCATGCTAATTCAGAATAAATGTGGAGCATAATTCAAACATGCAAATCGAAATTATGTCACGTGCATAGTATTGAATTGCAACCGCATCGTAGAGTTTTTCAAGGTCACCGCGACACCGCAAACTGAAACATAAAACGTAGTTATTTTTAGGGGGAAAAATCACGCCGTAACGTCCACAACACCCACAACCGCAACGCTAAAGCTGCAACCAAGATAGCAGCCGCAACCGCAATTTAGTACTATGGTCACATGTGCACGTACTGCATGAGCTATTCGAATATAATATGTAAAAAAAGACATGGATACAAAGAGTTTAACTACTGTAATTCCAGATCATATGGGAGGTAAAAGAAAGATTACCATATTGATATACAAATACAAGTTATGATTGTTTAGAAAAGTGAAACTGTGTGTCAAAAGCTACATGTTTGCCGTTGTTTCCTTGATTTCTTCCAATGTGATGGACTGCACAGCAAGAATACATACATATAATTCCGAATTCCAAGAATAACTATGTTACTGTGACTCGGGTGGGCTAAACTACCTCGCAAGTCCCTATACTATAGGCTCTAGCACGAGGACCTACCAAGTAAATCGCTCCTAAACCTATAGTACAAGGACTGGCCAAATAGTTTAATTGCTTTTGCATGAGTGTGAGATACGAGTATATATCTGACACGAGTATGACCGAGGAAAAAGGTTTAGGAACGGAAATACATACCTGATCTTCGCCGGCAAAATCGTTATCCGGGTGAGAAAGAGCATGCAGTGGCATTCTTTCCTGCCAAATAGTTGTATACATTGAATAAGAGAAACTTAGATTAAACTAATAAAATCAGAAACCAAAGAGAGTGCATTTATTGCAGGACAAATGTGTTTCAACATAGGTATGTTCAACGTTTTCTCAAGTTTTTACCATGTATTTGGAGGATCCTTAAGGGTCATACCCTCGTATCCTAGGACCTGGTTTGACAGGTTCACCAAGGTCCTTATAGAGAATGGGGTACAAGCAGTGTCAAGCAGATCACACTTTGTTCGTTAAGATTAATTCTAACAAGAAAAAGGTTATTTTCATTGTATATGTCGATGACATCATATTGACAGGAGATGATGAAGATGGAATTAATCAGTTGAAAAGGTTATTGAACAAAGTTTTTGAAACAATGGACCTAGGGAAACTGAGGTATTTCCTAGGCATGGAGGTTGCTCGATCAAGTAAAGGTTTGGTTATAAACCAGAGGAAGTATGTGCTCGACTTACTCTCAGAAGCTGGTATGTTAGGATGTAAGCCTGCTGATACTCCTATGGAAGCTGGCTTAAAGCTTCGAGGCGAAGAAATGAGGGCTGAAGTCGATAAGAATCAGTTTCAGAGGTTGGTTGGAAAACTCATGTACTTATCCCTAACCAGACCTGACATTTCTTTTCCTGTAAATGTGATCAGTCAGTTTATGACTAATCCGAGAGGAGGACATCTAGAAGCTGCTAATCGAATTCTAAGATACCTGAAAGGTACACTAGGACACAGGTTGTTCTTCAAGAAAACTGGTGATAAAACTGTAAAAATATTTACAGATTCCAGTTGGGCCAGTGAGGTTACAGAAAGAAGGTCGACAAGTGGATACTGCTCATTCGTATGGGGCAACTTAGTTACCTGGAGAAGTAAGAAACAAAATGTAGTTTCTAGAAGCACTGCTGAGGCAGAGTAGAGCCTTAGCATTGGGAATCTGTAAAGGCATGTGGTTGCTACGACTACTAAAAGAGTTGGACATAAAGTATGAAGGAAACTTAGAACTCTTCAGTGATAAATCAATCAGCTATTCAAATTGCAAAAAACCTCGTCCATCATGATCGTACTAAGCATGTGAAAATCGACAGACACTTTATTGCAGAAAAAGTGAACGGTGTGATAGTAAACTTGACTTACGTCCCTACAGAGGAACAACTAGCAGATGTTCTCACTGTTCTAGTGAGTTTCCACACCTCTAGATGCCTTCCTGGAGACGCACGACATTCGATATCAGAGCTTGCACATTCGACTGACTGTAAGATTGTTGTTTCCTCTTCGACCTTCAATGTGGAAGAAAAATGTAAATTAGCTGGAAAACATAAATACACTAGTAAATAGAGAGCATAATGTAGCTCACCAATGACAATATTGATTGGTCAGCGGTTTGCATGTAACTTGCTTCCTTGTCTACAACCTGTGTCAAAGCAGTTGAACACGGTTCATACAAACAGATTGGATACTTATAGGACGTATGGAACATTTCTGTTTCCTCTTCAACCATCAACGTGACAAAAATATAAATTACTTTGAAAAAGTAAATACACTAGTAAATAGAAAGCATGATGTAGCTCACCGTTGGCAATATTGATTGGTCAGCAGTTTGCACGCTACTTGCTTCCTTGTCTACAACCTGTGTCAAAGCAGTTTTACACAGTTCATATAAATTGATTGAATAGTTACAGGGTGTTTGCGGAAAAGTAAAAAAACGAACCCATGAAAGAACAAATAGTGAATATTTTACCAATTGGTGCTTCAGCTCATCTATGTTTCTCGTAAGCTTATGTAGTTTCAGAGACTGCAAAAATCAACATAGACCAAGAATGAGAAACCTAAAACTTTGGGAAGGGCATACAATATGAGAAGGTACATCCCCCCCCCCCCCGAGTCTTTTAGGTCCTTTTTCTCTTAGAGCCTGCTATCTATGCAAAGGTGTAGGAAGAATATGAAACAAGATAACTCCATTTTACCTTACGACGCTGTTCCTCTAGGGAGCGTTTCATTGCCTCTCTTTTACTAAGAAGTGTATGAGGTCTGAGACAAGTAGGTCGTTCATAGTTCCTTCCACGGTAAAAGATGATTGCATAACCCTTGCTTACCCTCACAGCCACTAATATTCCACCGCTTTCTGCCTCCAATATTTGTGCTACTTGATGAACAGCTTCGACATTTGTCTCCTTAGAAATTATCTTCACAATTTCCCTATACTTCCAATGAAGATGCATATTTTTGACTGTTCCAGTAAACACTCCATGTCTACCTAAGCAGAAATGAGAAAATTTAAAACAAAACACAAACAATAATTTGAAACTGCCCATTAAATTGCCTCGAGGATAAATGATCGGGTCCACTATTTTGAGATCAAAGGCTTGAACTATAAGGTCTTACTCACCCAATAGTAGGAAGGGCTTCATTCTCAAGCCAACCTTCCTAAGCATATTTTCTTCTTTAGTTATACCCTCTTTATCAATTTCAGATTGTTGAGGGATCTCCTCATGCTCCAGTTCTGCTAAAAGTTTCTCAGCCTTTGCTTTCTTCTCCAATGCCTGAGGTGGAAGAAATGTTGCATATATTAATTAAGATTGACCCATGACATCAGCCAAATGCAGTACCTTAGCAAAATAGTACCATAGACAACTTCGAGCTAGTCTTTCTAACAGATGCTTCTGTGGAGTTCAGGTTCTTTCCGTCATTGAAGATATTGCCTGTGCGACCCTTGAAATGAATGATATCACTTTTAGAGTCAATCTCAGTGTTCTCCTTCTGCAACGTTTTTGAACTGTGATTCTCCACATGAATTACATGCTTTCTCCGCTCTTCTATTGCAGAAGAAACGGAAGAAGGCAAGAAATCTTTTCCCCTATATAGGACAATAAAATCCTTATCTCGAGAGAGCAAAGTTCCTCCGGTCAACCACTGAAACAAAGTACTTTTGATCAATATAAGGCCATGATGAAACGTACAGAACTGCTACAGCAAATAGGTTCAAATATTAATTTTCTATACACCATATAGATTAAATGAGCTCAAGTCTAATGAACAACCCCCATGATATAGCCAAACGTGACTAACAGCTAAGATTTTACCAAAGAAAAACCTTGTGCATTTAGTATAATGTTCAGCTGAGATTTTCAAGGCATATTGAAACCAACACTTCAAGCAATCGACGTCTAAAGATTTAGTCAATGTGAGATGCGTGAAACATAAAAAGAAAAGTGTCTAATCAGAAGAACAAAATGACAAAGTTGAAACGCTGATCGAAATACAGTACATCATTAAAGGATTTCGTTAATATTTCTGGTAATGGGGACATTTACTTTTGCTACTTTGTCCACTAAAATACTGAAGGCTATTATCAAACCAGTTGTGGAGTGATATTCTGACAAAGACCAAATATGAATATTCAAAGGCAGATGCACAAGCTCTTGAACTTCAATGAACATAAAGAATATTCAATGTTTTGTATCCCTAAGAGTGGATAATAATATATGTTTGACAATTCTTATTAGTTTGCCATATGTACACCTAAAGGGTGCCCCGAAAAGCCTCACACCCCTGGCATCTATCGAACTTGGGTCCTTCAAGAAACAATAACAATTATTTTACCACGAATATTACTTAGTGCAATAATAAATAATTAATAGTGACCAAAACAGAAGTAATTTGAAAGTTTAGTAAGTAGATCGAAAAAATCAAAAGTACAATGAATGAAATAAGAGAGAATAAAATTCAGTGAGCAATTGTGTATTTTGCCCTTTTATTGTGTATTCTGTAAGGTAATTACATGTATAGTCATCTAATTATTGTTTTTTCTGTTTTGGTCACCTACTTTTTTAAAATATATATATATATATATATAACATTTAATTTAAAATTTTATTTTGACCATCTATCATTAAAAACTTAACATCATCGTCGAAGACGTGGAATTGTTTTTTTTCCATGTGTGTTTGCATTTCATAACCATTGCACATAAAATGTGAAATATTAAGGAATTTTTTTTTAGAGGATGAAACTTTAAAATTAAAATATTTTAGAGAAAAAAACATAACATAAAGACACTAAATATAGTTATGATTTGTCACTAAAATAACAGTAGGATGATCATTTTTACTATTAAAGAATCAAAAATTGAAAAATACAATAATAAAAGTAATAAAATTTGAAATATAAAGATTAAATCTTTTATCTTTCACATGATAATGTTATTGTTCATATTTTCAATGGGTAAATTACAAATTTTTATCACTAAACTTTACTCTTTTCTATTTTACTCACTGAACTTTAAAGTTTTCAATTTCTCATTAAACTTAATACATTATTTTTTTATTAATATGCCATCAAATAGTTAACCGCATTAAAAGATGTCATTTTACATCTATATAAAAGTCCATTTATCGTTGTTAGTGAAAAAACGGTTGAGTGACAAAAAAAAACCCAATATATTAAATTCAAAAAAAATTGAAAAGATTAATGTGCATTGAGTAGGAAAAAGTAAAATTCAATTACCAAATTTGCAATTTATCCTTTCCAATTTGATGGTTCCATATCCTTACAATTTAACCATATCTCAAAATTCAAAATTTTAATCTGATTGCTTGGAATCATAATTTTGGTCAAATTCCGTCTTTGGTCCTTGAACTACGTATAACTTATGAATAGAAATTTTAAAATTTGAAAAAGTATAAAAAAACTAAATTGATTCAAACTTGATCTATAAGTACAGGATGCTTGAAATGAGAACATCTTGTGGACAAATAATACCCTTTCTTTTCCTTTACACCTTATCTACAGGATAATTGGTCACATCCTGCTCATATGAACTTACAATATGTGCTACAATTCTTAACATTGCTTCTTTTCTTCGATCCGCATCGAATACAAACCTTTAAACGAAAGCCATTCGAGGTTCGGTGTTCTGCAAAGAAAGCCATGAAGGTTTAAGACATCTCCGAAAATTCTCGGTATAAGAAGAGGGTTATGGAGATACAAAGATTGCCGTGTTGTATTCACCTTTCGTGCCGGTCTAGGAAAGAACACTAAATTATTGCGAAGACGATAAAAATCTATGGAACCGTTGTATTCTAGCCTGGTTATTGTATGAAAGTCTGTGTTGCGATGAATTTCTTCTACGATAAAGAAGTCTTCGGTGTCCAACACATAAGAAATCTGCCGATGGTATGATTGTAACATCGAGTTGAATATCGAGTGCATAAGCAATTTCTTAGTCATAAATATCCCATAAAAAAACAGGAGGAAAGATGAAAGCACAATACCTTGTATGAGTTGCAAGCTATCTTGTTCTCTAAACCGTTAACCAGTTCAACGCCTTCCATGGCCAAGCAAGTAGCAGCAAATTCATCTAAACCTGCATACTTCCTCTTGTTTCTGCAAATATCAATAACGAGACGCCGATTAGCACTAGTCTATTTTGTTCCGAAACTTCATTTTTCTTTGCGTACTTGTGTCTACACCTATATAAGGATATGGGGATACGATCCTCTTAGGTATCCCACTGTTACATGAGAAACTAATAGAAGTTCAATATACCCGCATCGGACACATTCATATCCGAACCTTGCATCCAAGTTCGAGTAACTGGGATTTGCATTTCTTGTTTCTGAAACTATCAGTAGAGAAGCCTTTAGAATGTCTATATTTCTACAACACTTAATTTTTTCTTGAAGGACTCATGTCCGACACCTATAACCGGAAAAGGATATGGGGGCATATATGATGCTTCAGAGGATCTTCCAATTGCATGCAAAACTTCGGAAAAAAATTTCAACGTCCGGTGTTGGAAACGAAGACTCACTATCCACGATTCGGTTTAATCCTAATGCTATTATTACCTCTTGAGTGTAATGCCATGTGGCTCCTTGCTGGGATAGATGGACAGAAAGTCATCGTGCAAAAAGGCTGAAAAATTAGGTTCCATGGAAACGGCAAATGCTTCAGGCTTTTCAATGACATTGTCCATCAGCTGAATAGACAAACGAGATGGCGAAGATGACTGCAAAAAAGTTTGGACCGATGTAAAAAGAATTATGCGTTGACATAACTTAGGCCTTTCATGTTCCTAATTCAGTTCATTTCTTATTCCCAGAAAAGAGTGTTATAGAGGGACATGTAAAACTCACATATTTCAATCGATAAATATTCTCCTCATGAAGGAGGACACGTGCATTCTCATAATACACTGAATCCATCGTCTTCCAATGTTTACGGGACTTTTCATAGTCGAACAATTGGAGAAGCTTATTATCCATCTCATCTGCTGCAACAGCTTGAAGCTGTAATGGAAATTAGATGTCAACCAGTTGAACGAAATACGAGGAAGAAATAATGAATGATCATTGAAGAAGCTAACCTGCTTAACCAATTTATATATCAACTTGTCCAATGTGAATAACACGTATGACTGGTTTCCTATTACAGCTCGGCATTCATCCTCAAACTTTGAATTATCGGTGATCCATCAAGCAGACTGTAAAGTGCGCTCATAAACCTATGCAGCAGAGAGAAGAAATCTTCCGAATTAGAAAGCATTAGACCCTTCGAATTCAGCAGTTAAATCAATAATTTAATCCACCTGGCATATAAATCCGAAGAAACTAGTGTCTTTTGGATGTTTCCTCTTGATTTCAGCAGCTCCTGTATTTGTTTTTGCCGACAGTAATCTTTCATATAGGATCTAAACGAAGATCAAAGATTGAAGAATTATTAACATGTATTGCGGAAAATGAAGAAATAACTAAAAAGCTTCCGAAACCTTACGTACTTGATGAAGTCTGGAAAGAACGTAGAAATCGTCATTTGCATAAAAAACCCAAGAAATGTTTCTATTGTCTTCGGGTAAAACAGTCCGTACATGCTTTGAAAGAGGCTTCACCGTAGACAGGAAATGTTCTGAAAACAAGGATGTGCCGTCTCCTCCCACATGCGTATCAGTCACCCCTTCAGCTTCGCCTTCACTCTCGGCCTTACCATCAACTTCATCATGTTCGACCTCTTCCTCCTCTTCATGCTCTTCACGGGAGCATTCATCGGCCTCGGACTCACTGCTCGATGCATTATCGCCAGCCTCTGAAGCGTTTTCGCTATCCTCATCATAAGCATCTGCGTCATTTTCTCCATCAGCATCCACGGAATGATGCGAGTCTTTCCCGTTTCCAGACTGGTGCTGTCTACTTTGAACACCATGTTGTGCCTTTGGCACAACCTTTGGACAAGTATCACCGTAAGCAACAAAATTATCTTCCTCAAAATCACCAGTAGGTGATAATTCACCTTCTTCTTTTTCGATTCTGAAGGGACCAGCAGATTCTTCACGACATTTACTGGCATTAGGGCCATCTGTAGGTACTCCATTAGCTAACAAAGCATGTTTAGCTATACCAACACCCTGAATTACCAAGCAAATTTAAATAAATTTCTTATGACTGAAAACTAAAGAAAAAAAACAAACTGACTTCCGAAAAAAAACAAAATATCCAAATTGACTAAGTCGGTTGGTTTGGTCGAACAACCAAATTAACTGAAATAAATGAGACAATCTATCATTTTTTTCGAATATTTAAAATTACAATATTTTTTCTCCATATATCTATAAAAATATATATTTGGAGGATCTTGGAAGGTCATACCCCACATTCATGTCGAAAATGTATCGAAACACGAGTGCCAAACACAAATACTTAAATCAAAATGAAGTTGGAGCAACATAGGCAAAAGATGGTATATTGCTATATTTGACAAAAACATATAGTAATATCAGCTTCAGCAATGCCAAGTAGAATCCAGTAGTAGATATGCATTAATTCATACCTCCGAATAATGTACAAGGTCAGCATTAGCTTCGTGGGCCTCGCCGCCAACACTACTGGTAGGTCTAGATGCCGCCGCGCCTTTCCTTGAAATTTGACTAATCTCAGTAAGTCAGTATAACAACACGATCCCAAAAGAAGGAATAACAAGAATAAAAGTTATAGGGAAAACAAGATAATGAATAACGACCACGGAATGATGGTCATGTACACGCACCTGACGC